GAGCACGTACAAAGTGAGTACGGGACGGGGAGGGGCTGCCCGTGGCCACCTTTGCCCGGGCACCGGGGGCCGCGGGAGGCGCGGGGCAGCCGCGGCTCCTCACGCGGAAACGCAGCAAACTTTTGTCTTCCCCCCCTCCCCCTTTATTTTTTTCTCTTTACCTTTTCCTCTTTACTTTTTTTTTTTTCTTTACTTTTTCCCTGCTTTTCTTGGTTTGGATTTGTTTTTTTCTTTCCTTCTCCTTTTTACCCCGCTCTCCGTTTCGCTTCCCGGGAGGGGTCCCGCCCGCCCCGCTGTGTCCGGGGCTCCGCCGCTCCCCCGGGACAAGGCGGCTTCCAGAGCGCTTTCTGCCTCTCCAGCAGGCTCGGTTCACCAGCCGGCCCTAATTCCCTCGGTGTGTTCTGGTGATAAGGTGGTTTGGAGATCCTGATGGTTGTGGTCCTCTGCTTGAACCGTTTCTTCATACGGGCCAGAGCCTAAAAATGGCTTAACGCTGAATTAAGTTGCTTGCCAGCGTCCCGAGATGATAATCAGATTTATGATGGTGCACCCTAGCACTGCCTCAAAGTACTGACCGCTGTAGGTAGTTCAGTTCATGTTGGGAGGCTTCTAAACTCCAAAATTCCTCGTTATTTGTAAATTAAAAATATTCTGTTTATGGGCACCAGACACTTGTTCTGAACTCTTTTTCCCTGTAAACACACTGTTTCCAAAACACAGCAATTCTAGTTGGGAAAAATTCCCTTGAGAATCATACTTTTGGATGGGTAGTGTAGTAATCCATAATTGCATCTATAATCCTCATTCTGTACAGTGTGTTGTACCAGAGAAAGCACTCAAATTTGCATGATTGAATGCATTTGCATATTTAACTTACAGCTGCATTTGCAGCTTTGAGCCCTAAGGAAAGCTTTCTGATGGATTGTTCTATTTCACTATTTACTAAATTTTTCTGGTTTATTATCAAATGTTTTCATATTTCTGAAGATGTTGTCATCAGCATTTAAAGGTTTCCAAAAACATTGCTAGGAGTAAATTTTGCTGTTACTTTTGTTGTTCTTTGACGCACATTTAAGTCAACATTACCGCTCACTTTAAGCAGTCCAGTTATATTGGGGTCACGTTGTATTTGCTGTTTACTTTCTTTGGACTTAGATATCAAATTCATGCAAAACTACTGAAAAAAGTGAGATTATCTGGCTATAAATTTTGTCCTCTGGATCCAGAGCAGATAATGTTAAATAGTCTGGTGCTTTTTGGTATCGGTTACATTTGTGGCAAGGCCATAAGCAAACATAAATTCCCCTCTCAGAAGAGCACCCTGTAAACACCAGCTCACAGAAGAGAAACCTGGGAAGTTGACTGTTCAGGGCTGTGCCAACAAAGGAATGCTCTCCTCTGTCTATTGACTTCCAGAATGCAGTCAAAACAGTTTTACAGAGGAGATGAGAGAAGATCTCCTGTGTGTTTTAATGGATGTAATTTAAAATGGGCTTTAAAGGAATAAGAGACATCTAAATAGTAAAACCTTCCCTGTTATTCAGTACTTATTTCCTAGTAAAGTTTACATTTTAGTTTTGTTTTCTCTAATTCGACTAATTCAAAGGGATCTTTAAGGTTGAAATAACGAGGAAAACCACGAAGGAACACAAAGTTAATGTTGACAGTGTGATGAAATGTCTCCTCTGTAGGTATTTTGAGAGGTCTGGCATGTTGCATCACATAGCTCGTACTCACAGGCCTGGAAACCCTCCTGCCCTGCCCTCATTAAAAATTGAAACTTTATCCAGATAAGGTATAAAGGCTGCTTCAGATAGAGAATGGATTCGGGGTCCACTTTAAAGCAGTTATTTCTATATCAAAGTTGAAATCTTGAAAACAGTTGGTTACCCTTTAGGGGCAGAGAGCAGGAGCCTGTGTATTCAGCACTGGCTGGGACTGTAATCACAGCTCCCCCATCTAAAACAAATGAACACCTCTTTGTGCCATGCTCCAGCCTGTGTGGAGAGTGTGCTCGCCTTTGTTCAGCAGTGCTCATGGCACTTCTGCTCTTGCCTTGCCATCCTAGCAGTGCACTGCTGAAACACCGTGCTGGGATGGGTAAAATCCAGTGCAGTGGGTGTGCTTCTCCTACCTCTGAGACTAAAGGCTTGGTCTGGGCAAAAAACAATTCAGTGCAGCGCAGTGATGGCATCTGTGCCGCAGGACCAAATACAGGCTTAAGACTTCTCAAAAAAAATCAAGTTTTGGGTGACCTGGAAAAATAATAGAAAATTAAATTGAATACCCTGCTGGCCTGCTGTTTTCTGGGTGTGGGGGAGTATTGTGGTTTTTTTTCTTTCTTACAGTGCTAATCCATTGGATTTATTAAATGCATAGTAACCTGTGTTATACAAAGCTTCAAAATATATTTACAGAAGTCATCAGGTGGCTGAGTAATGCTGTTTTATTTTTATCTTGTTCTTCCTTTCTTCTGGCAGCAGCACCAGAAAGTGAATACCTCAGTGTTTTTCAGCTAACCTGACTAAACAAACAGCATAATTCACAAATGTGTGTGCACGCACAAAAACCAGGGCTGACATTTGCCCTTTATGTAAGACCTGGAGAATCACTTTACCGCATGATAGGAATGGCACGTGCACAATGAAGCCCAAGGGTGTGGGAGCCTATGACTAAAGAGGGCCACAGCCTCCCTTCTGCCAAGGAACTGCTGAGAGGTTCCCTGGTATGACACTGCCCTGCCCGGGCAGCGCCCTGTGGGGACCGTGTGGGGGGACTCTGTGGCACCCCCTGACGCACAGATGGTCACTTGGTCACCCCGAGTTGTGTGTTGTTGTGTCCCTGCAGCCTGTACAGGTTTTCTGCTGTAAATGAGGGAAAACTGCTTGGCATCCGGCTGAGATACACAGAGTGCAGGGGAAAGGGGACAAGACAGGAAAGTGCTGAGGTACAGACCTGTCCTTCTGCCTGGATGGGCCAAGGGCTGGGCAGGCAGCTCACAGACTCTTCCTGTGGGGTGAGGTTTCCAGAGCTCTTGATAAGGCCATGATTGGTGTTCCTCATCTGGGATTTAAAAGATATATCTCATGGTATCCAAGTAAACCCTACCCAGAAATTTTGATTATCAACCAAAGCACAATTTAAAAAACCCAGAACACCTCCCCACCAAAAAAACCCACTTTGTTCTCCCTAGAGGCATTGAGAATTATTTTGGTAGGCTATATTGTTTTATCACAGAAATATATCTGATAAATTCAGTTAGAAGTCCTAAATTCCATGTTTCTGTATTTTAAAAAGACTCACAGTTATATTAAACTACTGGACTTGTGTATCAAATGTCAAACTCACCGATGGTCCCAGCACAAGCTGCAGTCAGGTTGTTGCTTTGCATCCCTGCATTATAAATCTAGCTTGGGGGAAGAGGAGCCTTTGGGAGTTTGTATAAAATCCAGTTCTTCCTCAGTACAAATGATCTCTTCTGCCCTTATTTAGGGTTATGCCTACTTGATGTCTATCCTTGGGCATGTGTTCATAACCTGAAAAGGTTTGTATTTGAAGCACACTGATGGATGATGTATTAAGGTTTCTCTTAAACAAGAAATGTTTCATCAAGACGACTAAGAATTAGTCATAAGAATTAGTCTTTTTGAATAAACACTGGCATCTTGATTTTGTCTTTTCCATTCTGTTAAACCTGTTTTAAAATAATATTAAGCTAATATACAAATATAGCTTAACATGAGATGTGCTGAGGGCTGAACTGTGCCCTTCTCAACACTGTATTATGGATTCCAGGAGCTAAAGGAGGAGATGAAATGCACTAATGTACAAAACGCTTCAAGTGCAGTAGAGCACAGTATTATTTCCTTTTTGTACAGCTTTTGAATCTTCTCAAGGGGGCGGATCTCAGACATTGTGTGGCAACACTAGATACTTCTTAAAAAATTTACTCAATTTCAAATTGAGGAATAACAATTTAAATCACTAGTAGCTATACAGAGCTTAGCTATGAATAGATGTAGTGATGGTAATAGGAGTGATGGTAGACATCAGGATCTACTTTTCTCTGGTAGTTTCCTAATTTCAGAATTCTACCCAAAGATGTTGTTATTCACTCTTCCAAGGGTGCCTGCAGGATGTAAACGTGAGACTGTGGGGAGTCTCTGCATTGTTTAGTTGTGTGCATACCTGCTGAGCTATTGTTCAGTGAGGTGTGTCTGTAAGTAAAAAGCAAAGCTGAGCATTTACAGGAAGGCACTTTTACAATGGCTGTCATTTGTTTTGAAGATTAGTGTTGTTTATATGACTATCAGGAACTGCGGAAGATAGAATACCCACACATAACAAGTGGAAATTCAGGACTTCTTCCTCTTCAGCCAACTCCACGCTACCAGGCTGGATAACTCGCACTGGTTTCATGTGGTGAGGGGAACACAGCAACTCTTATAACAGAGTCTATGAGGATTTAATGACTCAAACGACTAGAATAGGTTTCCCTTATGCTTTTTTCCCTTGGAAGGTCGCTTTTGCCAGTTCTGAAGGTCTCTGCATAAAAGATGTTTCCAGTTGCCTGTTTTGAAAATGTTTCCCTTTATTTCCATTCATCCTAAATAATAGAAAGCTGTAGAATCTGATCATGTGCCTCCTCTTCTCGTTAATTATTCTGTTCATGAGAGGTAGTGTGTCACTAGAATATAGGACACACGATTGACAATTAGGAGGCCCTGTTTGTGTGCCTCACTGTACAGACAAATGATGTGCTGTGAACCACTTTATCTCTCCCAAGCTCTCTCTCACTTTATGATGTTTATTTGGATTAAGACAAAGTTTTTATTTCCACGTCCTTGTACACCAAGGCAGATAAAATACTGTTATTTTCTGAGATTTTTGACGATTTTACATTAATTGTTCTCCTGATCAGAAATTTTTCTCTGTTCCTCTGTCCTTCTTTTTGAGAAGTTTTGAGATCTGGCTTTATTGTATTAATTGTATTGTATTGTATTAATTGAAATTTTGTACTGGTGTTCAGTCCCACGCTTTTTTGTGACCTTTTCCTTGGACTAAAAGTAAGAGAAGCTATAAAACTGTAAGACATGGTAAGAAAAAGTAGCTGTACAAATTGATTTGAGTTGCTCTTGTCCCCTATAACTTCTGAAACTGAATAAAATACTACAATAATTTTAATTTATCTGAAATGTCTTGGTCATATCAAATGTATAGCTCATTCTGAAGAGAGAATTTCCTGTGACAGCTTCCTTTTTTGATAAAGTGCTCCAGATACTTCTTCCTGGACTTCAAAGACAGCCAGTGTTTACCTGTGGTTAACTGTATAGAAAGACGTGTGGCCAGGTTTTTTATTTGCTTTGAGAGTCTAGCCTTCAGTAGAAAGGGAAAAGATCACATATTATGCTTTTTTCCTGATGTATGAAAGGGAAATAATCTGAGAATTATTTCATCATGTCATCTTGGAGACGTGGCAGGGGGGTCAGGGAGAGTTAAGTTTTCCTATCGAACACAAACCCTTGATTGAGATGAGCCTTGCCCAGCGCTGTGAGGATCAGCTGATGCCCATAAACCAAGCTGTGGAACCAAGCAGATTCCAAAGGGGAATTTCCATTGCCAAGGTTTTTGCTGTTTCTCAGGCGCTCACGCCCAGGGACTGGTTCTGCTAACAATCAACCTCTGTGGCAGTGCAAAGCCTGAAACACTTCCAGAGACTGCCTGGGCTGATGGAGAAAAGATCCATTAGTTGTGCTCCTTCCAGCTGCTGCAGGCGCTGGCTGTAAATTGTTTCTTCACCTTTCCCAGCGGTATTTTGTGTACCTTGAGCAGGTGTGATGTCCTGGAGCTTTTCCTCTGGGTTCCCTGTGTTCCACTGGACCTGCTGTGTCTCCAGAGCGTGGTCTGTGTCTGTTGTACACAAATTCCTGCAATGGATCAAGAGGTCCTGTGAAAAACAAGAGCTGTGGGGGCTGGCTTCAGAGAAGGGAGCTATTAAGGGTAATTTTACTGGGGTTTGTTCACTTCTTCCTGAATGAAAACAGCTGACACAGGTGCAATCGCTGGTTTGAAATCTGAATTAGAAGATGTCAGGAAAGCTGGAATCTTTATCCCTGAATGCTTAAGGGCATTAAGACAGGGGTAAGACAGTCTTTCCAAAGAAAGTCATTCAAAAATGACAGTCATTCCAAAAAGCAGTACTCCAAGGCCAATAATTATCATGTTATTCTTAGAATTTTGGGGTAGGTGGCAAAAAGAGGTTTTACTCTGTAATTTTTTGTTTTGAGGGGTTAGCATAGGCAGAATCTTTCAAGATTATTTTCAGTATTTACAGAGGTTTTACTCTGTAATTTTTTGTTTTGAGGGGTTAGCATAGGCAGAATCTTTCAAGATTATTTTCAGTATAGAGTGGCAATTCAAGGTGGCACTGGGATTCTTACTTGCCATGGACACACACCATCATGGTACATCTTTTTTTCCCTATATCCTTGAAAATACAGGACTCTTTATCCTGAAACAATTCCCCAATTCATCTTTTTTTTTTTTTTTCCGTGTGATTCACTGACTCCGTGTAAGTCAACAGACATCGTCTTTAGTACACAGCTGGGAAGAAATAGCAAAAAGTTGGAATAGGAAGAAACAACTTTCTCCTTGGAACAAGTGTCTCACAGTCAGAGTGCCTCAGCAACGAGGAGAGCAACAGCCACAGCAGCAGCACTGACAGTAGCAAATTCAAGAGCTGGGGCAGGAGGAGGGATGTTCCCAGACACCAGAGCCTGAATATCCATCCTGTTAAGTTGTTAGAATAGCCCTTGGCATTGTTGGCTCAACCTGAAACAGCTTTCCCAAATGATTTCTGGATGTGGTTTGTGAGTTAACACAAATCAAGGGCCTGGGGACAATAGCTGGTTTGTTTGCAGTGATTGCATTTGGGTGGGTGAGAGTTTAATGGGACAGACCAGAAAACAATCCTAGTTGCATTTAATTTGTGCATAAAGGCAGTGGGACCAGGTATTGTTCTGTGGCTGCTTTTGATGTAATTTATGCTGTACTAGTATTGGAATCTAATAGTTTTATATATTTTTTAAATATCTATATTTTTATTCAGTGTGACTGTTAGAGCATTATTGGAGTTAATCCTTCACTTTTTATGTTCATCAGAATTCAGGTATAGTGCTGTCTTTGAAAAATAATAAAATTCTGTCTGCATGGCCTTGCCTGAAAATCAGACAAATGTGACAGTATTGCTGTTCTTTTGGAGTCCACCTGTGTACTAAATATAAATATTTCCATTCTGTTAGTAGTGCAACAGACAAAAGCTTGATAGTATTTCACTTGTCTTGAGTCTTGTATTTCTTGTAAACAGAAAGCATCTGTTTTGAATTCCTTGAACTTGGCAGCTCTTCTGTGTGAACAGTAGTGAGTGGTGTCATAAAGGTGTTGCCATAAAAATAGTAAGAATAACAGAATGGTATCTACAGGTATCTCATGATCTTTTCATGACAATATAATTTCACAGAGTAATGTCATAGCCATAGTTTTGTTAGGAAGATTCTGGGGAAAGGAGGCCTAGAATCTGCAGGATGATTTGCTGGGAATTTGCTGGGAATGAGAGCAGTCTTGCCTGGGGCTGCTGGATTTCAGATTCTGGTTGTTTCAGCCAGTAATTGTATTTAACAGTGAAAGCAGCTGCAGTGGAATTTTTTTTCCCCTTCTATTTAAATAAGGTCATCATTTTCTTTCCGAGAAAACCTTGATTTTGCACAAATTTCAAACAAATAAAAAATGCAGCAAAAAAACCCAAAATAGGTAATTTCCCTGAATGCACCTGTAACACAGAAACCAGGAAGGATATGAATCAGAGATCTGGTGAAATTTTTCTTCTTTTCTTTTCTAGCTTTTTTTTTTTTTAAATTTAGAACTCAAATCTTGAACCATCGTCAGAAAGTTGTCGTCTGAATTTATAGACCAATTAGTGGATAAAGGTTTTTCTCTCATTCCAACATCACTTACCATAAAAGATGGTCTTGCACAAACTCTGATCACACACTTGATATCCTTTTGTATTATAAACAGCCAGACTTTTTTACGCCTTGTTGCAGTAAGGTTTTTTCCCTATTTGTTGATCTTAAATGCTCAGTTTCTTCTCCCTTCCATCCTTTGTTTTCCTGTATCTCTCCAATCCTCCAATTTTCATCCATCCATGGACTCCTCAGTTGTAAACTGGGCCTGAGTGACACTGAGATTAATATTATACCCACTGTGGAATTGCCTTGGCTATAACACAAATCTTGTTTTCTTTCACTAGAATGTTATGGAACAGTTCAATCCCGGACTGAGGAATTTAATAAATCTGGGGAAGAATTATGAAAAAGCTGTTAACGGTAAGTTTTCCAGGTGCTACATTTAGAAAGAATATTTAATTCTCATTTAAATATACATATTGGATATGAGAGTTGTGTATATAGGCTTAATTCCCAAGATGAACTTTGGATGTGTTTAATTAAGAGGAAAAAACGCCAACAAGCACAAATATACAAATACATGCATCTTCTCTCCAGTCTTTTGGGGTCTTTCCACTGTCCTGGAGAAGTTGCATCAAAAACATTTAGGCACAGAGCTCCTGCAAAACAAACTGAAAGTGGCTTTAAAGTAACCCACATTGAAATAGTAAGTGAAAAAACCCAAAGTTATGTAAATTAGGTGTTATTTTTTTTCTTTCTGAAAATACCTTCCAGAGATATTTCACATTTTTAGGTCGGTTCCTGCTCACCTTCACACGTCACTACTTAAGTAACCCTGAGTACAGAACAATGTGAATTAGTTCAAGCTGCAGAGTGGATTGATCTGTTGTTGTTGTCCATACTAATCTTGATGGTATCTTTTTCATTGAGTCAAAATCAGAATGAATTTGAATTTGAATCTAAGGACCAGTCTCTCAAACATTTTAGAATATAATTGCATGCTCCCATTATTGACTTCAAGGAACAATCCAAGTCCTTTCCATGACTGGGCTCCAGACTCCCAGAGCCTGCACTGTGGGGCCTGTCAGAGCCTGCTCCCCATGCAGACCTGTCAAACTGCTTGATACCATATTAAAGCCATGTAAAATCTCTAATTTTGCCTCACTCAAGCCTATGGCACATCTTTCCCCTCTGTGTAATGCAGTCCTCTGAGAAACGGGATCCTGCAGAAGTAGTGCATAGCCAAACACATTGGAATCTCTCTCCATGCAAATTTTAGACCTGGCTTGAGAAAAAGATAAAACCAAAGCCTGCTGGAGGTGAAAATAGGGAAATGTTGACTTATTTGTGGCAGTGTCTAACTTGATGGATTAACATATGGTTACCTAGTACCTGACCTTAGGAATTGCAAGTAGTACCAGAAGTAGTAATAAGTGTTTTTGTATTCATTTGAAATATTTCTATACTGGGTTCTGAGGGTCCTGCTTCTCACACACTCTGCTGTTGATATGTTACATTTTGGCTTTTGTTGCATTTGCCTTTAAGCCTAGCTGATAAGGCATATCTAGCATGAATGCTTATTTTCAAATGAATATTTACATTTACAGTGTTGCAACAACTCTTGCGAAGTCATCTTTGGACTCTCATAAATTGGTAATCTTTTCACCCTAAGTTCTGTGTGGTGTAAATAGATCTGTAGCAAGGAGTAAATACTCTATTGCTAATCAAACACCTTGCAGCTTTCCAAAATGTTGGAGTATGCTGACAAAGAACATAAAACTTACGAGAACTCCAGATGTGTTTATATTAGTGCTTGTATTAGAAGAAAAGAGTGACTTGGGGCTGTCTTGAGAAAACACAGATAGGAGGAGTTAGACTGTCATCACATCCTCTTGTACAGGTGGCACATTGCTCCATCAGTAGCACCAGTATAATTCTTCTGCTCAGGAAGTTTGAGTGCAGAGCACCTATGAGGCAGAGCTTAGACAGAAATCACCCTTTCTAATGCAACAGAGCCTCAAAGAGAATCTTTGTTTGATTTGGAAATTTTTCAGGCTTCTCAGTGAATATACTGTTTGTTATGCAACCAAAGATGTCACCTTACTAGTAAAAACTAGAAAATACAGATCTGTAATTGGCAATTACATTCCTCTCAAGAAAAAAAAAAAAAAAGTATTCTGAACTTAGCAGTGAGGCTCTGCTTGACTTTCACTTTAGGTCAAAAATATACTATTACAATAAAATTATGACAAATAACTTCAGGAAGTAATATTTCACATTAAAGCTTGCCAGTTTGTCCCTGTTATTTCTTTTCTTTGTGGTGTGCAGATCAGTTCTAGACACTGAAGATGCAAAGCAGCCACTGTAGATCTATTCCCTGTGTAAGATGTTTCTCCCCACTGGCCTCCCTGCAGCTTCAATCCTGACGTTTCTCTGTTCATTCCAGCAAAACTGGCTTTGCTGTTTAAATCTGCCTTAGCCAGGAAATGATTAACTGGGAATAACTGAAACTTGGTGGTATATATTAAGAGCTTATTGGTTCCTGTAACAGCCAACTTTAGAGGGAAATGATGATTTGTTTTTGAGGGGCTCCACATCTCCCTGGGACAGCTGCAGGTTGGTGGTGTCGTGGCCAGTTGCCATTTCCCAGGTCCCTGGTCTGGCTGGTCACCACAAGAGCCCTCAGCAGTTTTTGGATGTTTGGGATTGCAGTTTGGGTTTTTCCAACAGTTTTCTCTGTACCAAGGAAGTTTGCTGTGCCCTGACCAATGCAGATGCTGATTGCCTCTGGGTATGCACAGGAGCTGGAGCTAAATAACAGGCTTAAACTTCATTAATATATTCTGGAGTTCTGTCTTTTTTCCCTGGTTTCAGATCAGCAGGGAGCACAGAGACTTTGGTAACTTTCTCTGACAGAAGGATTTCCTTGTTGCCATATATCCCTCTCTTACTCTGTGCTCTGGATGATGAGACTTCATAGAATGGTGCATTAATAAAAATGGAAGATATTTATTTAACAGTTGTGTTTTTTTCACTCACCCCCAGTTATGGTAGTGGCTGGAAGAGCATATTATGATAGCCTTGCAAAGATTGGGGACATATCAGCAGATTCTCCAGTTTCAAAAGAACTAGGTAAGTGAAAGTTCATTTTTTAAATTATTCTGAAGTATAAAGTTTATTTTTGCTTTCCTGCTGGCAGTTCACAGAACAAATGTGAAGTAGATAAGGATCAGTAAAAGTATGTTCTACTCTTACATAACATGGATGGAAGGGATTTGATGCTTTTAAGGCATATTATTTCTCAAGACACTTACAATGTTTTGACAAGATTACCTTTTTTTTCCCCTCCTTTTGTGAATATAGATCTTCCTATGCATTCAAAGTCATGTATTTTTAAGCTCATATAATTCTAAAGTAAATAGGAAAAAACATGCATCTTGATTTTTAATGCAGAGGTGAAGGTTGAAATACTTTTGTAACAGAATATTGGTATGAAGGGTCGTCGTGTACAATAGCAATTCTAAACTAAATTTTCTGGTTGAGTGTCATTGTGAAGGGTTCAGTTTTACTTCACTACTTTTGATCAAGTGTATCACTTAAAGTTCTCAGGTGCATTTATATTTATTTTCTACTTGAGCTTTTGAAAGAGAAACTATAGACTCAAAGACAGATTAATTTTACATTAATATAAATCCACCTCAAGTTCTGTACTCTCCTGAAAAAATTTCTGAGTATTTGAAAGATCAGCAGCAGCACTTGACCTTGACAACTTCACTTCTGTAGGCTGAGCAGTATAATTGAACACTGGGGAAAGGAGTACAAAGTATTTGTAATATTTCTGACAAAAGATTCTCGTGTCACTGCAAAGCAAAACACTGGGACCTATACTGCAAAGAGTTTCTTCCTTAATGTCTCATCTTTTGCTTTTTGACATCATTTTTGACAAAAATATCTTGATGACGTGTCTTGCTTCTGAACTTTTGATTTTAGACAACATAGGACCCTTCCCGTGATGAAACTTGAATCTCCTCCTGTAACTCACAATAGTTTGTTAATTCAGCTGATTACAATGGATGGGCTTAGCAATTCTTTTTCATAGCTCTGGAGAAGTAGAATTGAGGGGACAGCCTCCTCTTGAAAGGTGGCCACTGGTTTCTGTGTGGCTGCCTGCATTTTTATGGTTTGTTCTGAAACCACTTGTGGGTGAGTGTTGAGGTCTGTGCCGAGGGCTGGGAGCGGTGGAACAGCAAACAGGGCAGAGTAAACAGTCCTGACGAGCAGCTCCTCTGTTTGCTTTGCAGGCTGTTTACAGAAAGCAGCGCTGCTGCTGTCAAACTATAGAACAGTTAAAAGAAATGGCTATGCAGAGTTTTATGAAATAGTAGAAAATGCACAATTACAGTTTTTGCAATCAAGCAGTTGGTCAGATGCATGGAAGCAACTGATTTATGACTTGTCACTGTGGGACATTGTCTGCTTATTTGGAAATACTGTTATTATTGGGTAATCTTCTGCTGATTTCTGAAAATAGTTGGTTTCCCTTGTTATTTGGAACTATACAGAATTGTGATTGAAAACATATTTTTGTTTAACGATTAATTCCATCCTGCAATTACAAATCTTTTTCAAGATATACCATATCGAGAAAACACGGCCTTCTTCCCAGCTTTCTGTTCAGCTTCTCCTTCAACTGTTACTGCAGAAAAGTCTATTCTTCTTAAGGCAAACAGTAACTCTGGATTTCTTCCAACATACTCTCTGATGGAATACTTAATTTAGAGATAAGGAAAGTCATTGAATGCTGGAAAAGGTAGGATAATGTGGTTAGGAGTCTGTGACAGATCATTTGCATTTTCAAGAAAAAGTCTTACAAGTTCTGAAGCTGGGCTACAATATTAGACTATTTACCAATGACATATGATACACCCAGGTGTCTCTAAAAGTACCTGCTTGAAAAGAAAATATTTACTGGGCACTTCTGTGTTTTAATACTATTGCAGTGCACGCTGAGCAGTAAGGTGTGCATAAGGACAGACCAAACTTTGCACATTTGTGGGTCCTGTAACTCCAGGGGAGCCCCCTGTGCAAACCTCATCCATGAGTTCCTTTAGACTTGCCAAAAGACAAGTGGTTGACCACTAGCAGCTCTGTCATGCATAATACTTCTGTTATCTCTGCCAAATTAGAGGTGGTTTCACAGTTCAAACCCAAACCTGCTGGGTGACCTAGAGCGTATTCACTGCCAATGTGATGTAAAGATTGGTATCAAACCCACAGCCAATCCTTCCTCCTTACCAGGAAACACAGAACCTGGGCTTCTGAGATGAGACAGTAAAATGGACATCAGCCCCACAGCAGGGTAGAAACAGAAATGGAATAGAAATAAAGGAGATTTTTTTGAAGTCGAGGGTTGAAAGTAGAAAGGCTGGAGAAGTCATGGGGGAAAAATCAAGCAAAAATGCCAGAAATCCTTTCTTCAGTTGAATGAGATTGGAGCAGAAGAGGGAAATGAGAATGAAAAGGAAATCTGGATATTCCAGCTGATTCAGAGCTTTTGTATTAAGTATCTCTGTCTTTCAAGTCTGGTTGAAGCTCTCTGAATTATTTTAATACAGAATAATTTAAGCAAATTGAGGAAGTAGAAGAATGTACTGCAGTCACAACACAGTCCTTATGAATAAGGTATGAGTTGATTGAGTCGACATTCTTTCTAATTTTGTATCTCCCTAAATTTCTGAGCTTGTAGTCCCTCAGACTTGGCTATGAGCATTTAAAGAACAGAATCTGAATTTATTGCTTCAAGCTATCCTGCAATATGGAATTTGCATACCTTTTTTCCTAGGCACCTTTTGGAAACCCCTCTAGGAAGAAAAGATAGAAAACAAGAAACTACATGTTTAAAAATGTTAAGATTTCATACTATTCAAATTCCAGCAAACCACACCAGCACAAAATGCTGTGCTTCAATAATGCAGTAAAACCAATTTCACATAGACACTTTACCACGTTGTTAAAATAAGAACTTTCACATGTTGCTAATTGTTTTTGTCTTGCCCAAAACACAAAGGCTTGTGGGGCTTTGTCATGTCGATTTTTAGTGCTTATCATTTAAATAAAATCTCCTCTAGTAATACAGGCTGTCTCTGTAGGCTTCACTTGCACAAGGAATTGGGAAGTTATTTCCTGCTTGCATGTGGAATTCTGCTTCTCATATCTTCCCAACTATCTTCTCCAGCACCTGCCAGTTATTGTAGCTACATCTCATTTTATATTGTGGGTGTAAAGTCCCACATAGTTTGTTGTGTAGCAACGGTATCTACAGCAGTCACCCACAATTACATTATGGGTCTGTACCCAGAACTTGTTGCTCAAGAACTAAGGAGTGTGAACTATTAATTGCTTGTCCAAATAGTAAAAGAAAGAAAAATATTACATTGCATAGTTTTGATCAGTGGAACTAAATTGCAGAAGATCAGTGTGTTAAGACTGGAAAAGTCTCTTCCCTAATCTAACCAAGACTGATAATTTATTTAAAGATTACTGTAGTTTACAGGCATGTTTTTTTATAGTTGCACTGTGTTAAAACATAATTGGAAACAGGTATGTGAGAGCTTTAGCTCATCTGCAGTCTAAAATGTAAGAATTTGGAGAAGTTTGGGTTCCTTTCAGAAGAATTTTTTTGGTTAAAAACCACTACAAATGATCTAGAGGAGCAAGTACTGAAGTAAAAGATTGCTCTTTGTTGTGGCAGTCACAAGATAGAGGCAGAGAGAAAACCCCAAAACTTCTCCTTGTGCACAGAGGAAGTGGAATTTTTTCCTGACAGAGGGTGAGCCCTGAACTTGATGTTCCTCTCAATCACAAAAGAGCAAACTGTTCTTCAGGTTAAAAGACAGGATTTGAACACATTCACAAAACACTTTTGCCTGTCAAGTGGTGTAATTTTAAAGGTCTCCACAACTTTGTCATGTTTTGTCAAATACAAAACCTTGTGGTATAGTAGTACCACTTTATTTTACACAGTAATAGTGATTTCAGGAATTCTGTGACATGAATCAGGCAGGGGTTCTCTAGCTCCATATTTCCTTTTTCTGAGAGCCTTTATACCTCCAGCTATTGGGGTAACTGCATATTGTTTTGAGGGTCAAGGCTGATAAACCTTCAGTCAAAATAAACTAGTGGTTGTTGGTGAATAGACCTGCCATTTATCCAAAATTTGGCATTTTTATGAATATCCACCAAGTTTGTACATTACAGTTCTTGAGTAGCATATAACAGTTTCACAATGATCCTTTAGTAACTTTTATAGCTTTTTGTAAAGCAAACAAACAATTTACCATTTGATAATCATGTTTATTTAATATTAATAGAATCAGTAGTGTTTGGTTCAATCTGTAAAGAGTTGTGATTTTTTATTTTTTTTTGTGATAACCACTTTATTTCAGCTTTGCAACTAAGTGAAACTCTGTGGGCTTTTCTCCCTCCTCATTGTTTTCACAAGAGAGAATTTCTGCATCAGAAACTGTGAGCTTTAAATGGTCAACTCGTACAGAAAATGTTTTGGAACTAAAATGGAAAATTCCAATTTTGCTAAAACAAACATATCTACTTGCTGAAAAAAATCTAATCAGACTGTAACATAAAGCAGTACTTTCTTTTTAAAACATTATCTTGCTAGTATTATTCAAAACTGTCTATTTTCTTCCTGTCTAATAAGCAAAATTGCCATGTGATTGGGAATTTTTCAGAGCTGTAGCTCTCTCTTGTTAATTCTGGGTTAAAGAACTCACTCTCACCAGTGAGAAAACCAAGCAGAAAAGAGAAAATCCCGTGGTTTTAGGATGAATGTAGCTAGCTCCACTTCCGTTCAAATAAAAAGGGGAGGGAGGAGAGTTGTTGGCTTACTTTAACACGTCTACACTGACCCTGTCAGCTGGAGTTGTGTTTCACTTAGAAAGATGACACCGTGCACTCCTGCGGGTGTTTCAGCTGAGGAGGAGAGCTCTGACATCTTGTCCTCTCACTGCATCCCTGCCATCCCTGTGGAACCTACCAGCTTCCTTTGGAATAGATTGCGATGGATAGAAAGGAAAGCGAACCATGCCAGCAGCTGCAGAACTTTTAGCACCTCA